AACAGCCAGGTCTTAACAGACTTACGAAGGCCAGGAGAGTGGGGAGTGTCCGGATCTCAGGTGGTAGCTCGTTCCAAAGGGCCAGGGCAGCAACAGAGAAGGCTCTCCCCTGGGAAGCCACCGGATGGCATTGTGTGGCTGACGGTACCCGGAGAAGGTGGAGACAGTACACGCCCTGTGCGATCTTATTGGACGCTGGGAGGTATGTTGCAGGAGGTGGTCACGGAGATATCCAGATGCATTCCAAAGGGTTAATAAAGGTAATTTAACAATGCCTTAAGTCAGGGGTGTCAAACTCGTGGCATCACGGTGGCGTCACATGACGTATCGGGACTTTTTCCCCCTGCGCTAAACCGGGCGGGGCCAGCACATGACACATCCGGGCTGCGAGTTTGACAGCTGTGCCTTAAGTGAAATTTAGGAGTTTAGGACACTAAAGAACATGCCCAACTGGAAAAGTAATTGCTGCTTGAGGTTTTATTGTCGCCATCTAAAGTTGTAGTCTAATTCACGATAGTTGTCTGTTAAGCTGAAATATAGCTAACAGGGTAGATCTTAACAATGATTGACTACAAATTTAAAGAAAGGAAATCTAAGTCCCTATTGAAACTCAATGAATCCATTACCGGTAGCTGAGAAATTTTTAGAAGAAATTAGAATAGAACAGTGTTTCCCAACCTTGACAACTTTTAAGATAGGTGGACTTCAACTCCCAGAATTGTTGTCTGGGGAATTCTGTAAGTTGGAAGTCCACATATATTAGTTACTACGGTTGAGAAATACAAATGGAATAAAGAAAAATGGGGAAGGCTGGTAGACCAATGCCATTTTATTATTATTTTGGTCTTTTAATGGTTCTACCCAGATGTAAATATATGTTAAAATGATTATTTAAGAATGAGTCCTGACTTATATGTGACAATGAACAACTTTTCACTGCAACTATGAATGAGATAAAAGTTTGATTTTTCTTAACTGTTGTTGTTCAGAATGAAGGTCTGTTTTGTTTTTTGTTTTTTAAAAGGAAGAATGTAATATAGTGGCTGCTTATTCATATTGTGCAATATTCAATCAATGCTGTGGAATTAATCCTAGTGCCTAATAAAATGTAGGTTGGAAGAGGGTTGACATGTTCATTTATATCTCATTATCTGCGATATATATTCCACTTTTGATTTTGGGGGTGGTTCAAAGAAATATACGGTAACCGAATTTGAGTGCTATAGTATGCCATGGTTGGTTAAGCCAAGTTAGATCGATTCGACACTGAAGCAGAAGTAGGCAAACCTTTTGATGCAGGGCACATCATATGGTTGGTGCCCTCACAAAATGCCCGCCCAAATGGGCATAGCAGATCAGAAAATATCAATTCGTAGACAGGATGGACAGCCTCCCAGAATCCTACCATCCCAGTGGGGTCTAAAGGCACTGCTATAAACTGTGTTTTCTGAAATGCTAGCTTCATACTTTTGACTACGGCCCTGGTAGCGCAGTGGTTAAAGTACAGTGTTGCAGGCAAACTCTGCCCACTGCCTGGAGTTTGATCCTGACAGGGCTTGAGGTTGATTCAACCTTCCTTCCTTCCCAGGTTGGCATTATGAGGACCCAGATTGCTGGAGGCAATATGCAAATAATGCCTTGACAATGTAAACCACCAGAAAGTGTTGAAAGTGCCACGAGGCCTAACTGCTGTTGTTATTGGATTATAAGAATTGTGGCGGCGCAGTGGTTAGAATGTAGTATTGCAGGCTAATTCTGTCGACTGCCAGCAGTTCGATCCTGACCGTCTCAAGGTTGATTCAGCCTTCCATCCTTCCAAGGTCGGTAAAATGACCCAGATTGTTAGGGAAAATATTTACAAATACTCTGTAAACCACTTAGGTGTAGAGGATGCTATAATATATGCACACAGGAGAAACATCTCAATGACCAAAAAACTTATCTTCCTTTCTTTGCTTCTCCCAAGTATTACCAAGTGTCGATTTACGTTCTTTTTCTTAAAAAGAAAAAAGAAAAGAAACTTGGACTGAAACCTTGTAAACCTGCAGGGCTACCTTCCGATAAGTAGCAGGGGGAAAATGAGATTAAGAATCTTAACTGCTTTTTTTTAAAAAAATGCGAGATTAAATGACCACATCTGAACTTCCTGGAGAAAGAGCAAGATACCCGAGGGCACTTTTCATTATCTTTCATACAAGACAAGTTTCATACAAGTTTTGCCCTTTTGTTGACTCAGAGGGCATTGAGGGAAAGAATCTCAATCATTTTAGCCAATTCCGCTGTATTTAAGTACAATGACAACAAAGGTTATACTTATACTTTTTAACACTGTGTCTTCCTGCTTGTATCTGCAACATCTCCTCCTTCCATATTGCAGCACCTGCTTTTGAACGGGCCCTGGTTTAAACTTTCTGCCTGCTAGCAAAAGTACCGCATTAACGCGTTTTGCCTTCTCAATCTGCCTGCTGTTAACTGTGGTATCCAGTCATGAAAAAAAAAAAAAGACTTCAGACTTAAGACTTTGGCTTAAAACAGTGGTTCCCAAACTTGGCAACTTTAAGACTTGTGGACTTCAACTCCCAGAGTTCTCCAGCAGAGCTGGCTGGAGAATTCTGGGAGTTGAAGTCCACAAGTCTTAAAGTTGCCAAGTTTGGGAACCACTGGCTTAAAACAATGTCAACCCAGTCACAAAAAAGGATGCCTATAATAATATTGTCCAAAACAGCTGTAGCCGCCTTGTCTTCCCAGTTAGGTGGCTGTACCTATTCAATCTCAGTTACTTTAAAAAATAATGCGCACAGGTGTTGTGGAGTTACCAGCCTGATCTGGAAAGAAGTAAACTGTTGTGACCTGGCAACAGAGTCGGACAGTAAAGAGGTTGGGGAGAGGAGCATGGGCCAGTCCTGAAGGCTGTGGAAGGCTCGGACGAGGGCTCTGCATCGGAAGCAGAGAGGGGGCTGAGGCCGTCTGGCAGTGATCAGATGCCTACGGAATTAGACAGCAGTGAAGCAGAGGAACAGCTGGAGCCTATTCCCAGTGTGCTCATGCGCAGAACTGGCAGAAGAAAGGAACAACCAGAAATCAGGGTAGACTTGGGAGTCAAGTCACAAGTGGAAGGTGACTGACCTCTCCAACAGGAAATAAAAGAGGAGTGAAAGGGGAGTGGGCTTTTACAAAGAACCAATTTGTTCATTTGGTCGTTAAGATTCAGGAGTGTGAAGATCTGTCTGTGAATCTCAGAGACTCTGTGCCCAGTCTTTCCTGCCACAGCACCTCATTTGGAAAATATTTACATGGCAGCTTTCCAAGATAGATAAGGTCTGTCGTCATAAATATTCCTGTTTGCCGGGCCTTGATGAATGTGAATGAGAGGAATTCACATTCATTTAATAAAAGGGGTTTTGTCGGGACCAGGGCTCTGCCTTGTGCTTTTAGGGAAGCCTAGATCAGAACATAAATGCTGGAAGGCAGCAGTGGGAAGCCATCCAGTATCATGGCCAAGAAAACTGCAGGGATGAAGGCGCTTAGAACCAAGCTTGAATTCCTCTTTATCTCTTTATCCCATCCCCTCATAAACAGCCCAGTAGCCCAAGGCTGTCTGTAAAACTAGCCTGCAGTGCAGCCAAATGCCAAAAAGGGTAACTCAAGCCGGTTCTATTTGAAGTGAGGTATGTGTTCTTTCTTTGAAAGAATATGTGGGAGTTTTTGCTTGAAAGGACCAAGTTGCAACCTTTAAGCTCCACAGAAGCGTAACTTTGCTGGAAGTGATACAGAAGCCCTCTGGGTAGACAAGAAGGATGACTCATTCCTTTCTTTTCACTCTGATACGCCTTCGTAATTTCAGCCTGGCGGCCTTCCAGGTGCCTCGTGCGCAAGCAATGTTCAGGTTCCACTCCTACAGCTGTCTCCTAGCGGGCCCACCTGTCACACAACGTTTTTGATAGACCAGATCCAGACAAACGTAGATCAAGATTGGAGGAAAGCCTAGAGACCTATAAATAACGATTTCGAGAGTTATACCTAACACTGGAAAGAAACAAAGGTTCATTCCTGGTTGTTATTGTTGTTGTTTTTTTAATGTTGTTTGCCCAAAGTGACTTCCTTCGTCCAATCTGATGAAGGTCGAGTGAGAACAAGTTTCTTAATCGATGATCTGTTCAGAAACTCCTCTATTATCTCTGCATTATTCATTCAAATCAGAACAGGGGATGGACCCCGATTTGAATGGATACAAACATCAAACACATTAAATAACAGTTCCCAATAGTCAGCAAACAATCCATTCAGGGCAGTTCTGATGCTCAGAATCCATAACTTCTCCATGAACAAGTTATGAAAGGTATCTATCAGGGGTGGGCTACTGGGGGTTTCAGGGGAACCTCTAGCTAAGATTCTGTGCAGTTTGGAGAACCCCCCCAAATCCCATTCCTGGCTGGCCCCTCCCCTCCCAGGAGTCCACAGGCGGCCCGTTTTAGCAATAGCAGTTAGACTTATATACCGCTTCATAGGGCTTTCAGCCCTCTCTAAGCGGTTTACAGAGTCAGCATATTGCCCCCAACAATCTG